CTTCAGGTGTTCCAAGCACGCGCGCACCATGCAGGCGCAGGCCGCATCGATGGGATCACCCTCCGCGGGCCCCAGCACCAGCTTCAAGACGCAACGCTCTCCTGCCAGAAATCGTGCCGTGATTAAACAATATCTTGTTTGTGTTTGTGTTTTCTCTGTTTATATGTTAACAAAAACAGAAACAAGCGGATGTGGTGTGGTTTTGTTCTTGCCTTTTTTTTGGGTAGCAAATACACAACACATAGACCAGCGGATGTGTTGCGGTTGTCCTGTTGTTCTTTTCAGCCAAGCTGAGAGGGGAAGGCACCCTCAGACATAGCGCAGATGTACGGCGCGGGTGGGGAGCTTCTTACAAAGCGGGGGTGGTACCAAGGAAGCCACACTTTATTTGCTGGCCTGCTGAACCCACCTGGCCAAAGAAGCTTGTGAACAGGTTGGCTGGCTACTCAAAGGATGAGCAATTCCCAGCAAACGCAGCACAAGCTTTTTGCCAACACAGGTAAGCTACAGTGGACTTCCAACATATTCGGAGTAAGCCAAGTGCTGGCCCACCGCACACCGCTCAAATGGCATCCTTAGGCACTTGGACACGGCTCCTGAATGTGAAGGGGACAGGGAAACCCTCCTTTTTACCCTTCCTTCCACCAACCTAGCACCTGAGGTACTTCTGACTTGCCCCTTAGGGACCAAGAAATAAAAGGTGATCACCTTTTGGTGCCATGACTAAAAATGGGATCCCAAAACTGGAAAACCAAAAGGTCAAAAGGTCGATTCGCTTTGGGCACCTTTCGGTACTTGGAAGATCAACTTTCTGAGTGCCACGTTAGTGGGAGGGAGGGTACGTCAATGTGCATCCAAGTTACATTCGGTGTCGTTGGGGAGGTCTGCTTGCAGAATTTGGGGCATCCGGATCTTCTTGTCTCACTTCCCGAGTGGGTTGGCCAAAAAAAGTGTGAACTTTTTACTTACCACCAACATGGTCGTCCCAAAAAGCTTAAAGTCCATGAACTCAGGAAGTGAGTTGTGGGCCGTAGCATGTCGCAGCGTTCTCCCCCTGTGCCACTTCCCTGATTGCCGGTTCGCGTTGCCCCTGTCGTAGACCTGGCTATGAGAGGGGCTATCTTTGAATCCCAGTGTCCTCAACATGACACCCACCAAGTGGGTAACCCATGGCAATACGGGAACAGGCCTCCAACCCCTCCGCTTGGTTTCATGTCTGAGGACACACACCTCCGCTGGGGGTTACTGGGCTTGTCTCGGTTGCTCCCTCCCCCCGAACAAGCAAAAAGTCGTTTGACTTTTTGTAGGTTCAAGGCCAATTGTTTCCAACACCTCTAACACCGGCCCCACTCATACTCGTGGGTCACAGCAAAAACCGGCCATGCAATCGCGGCAAAAACCAGCCATGATGCTTGTTGGCCTAGGGTTTACTAGGTCCTCCAGCAGAGAGCTTAGAATAAGGGTCCCCTTTTTTCTGTAGTCTATTTTGGTAGCGGAACCCTCCCCCCCAAAAAAAATGTAAATGGGCACTACTGGGGAACCTAGTTTATGATAGGCTCCCCTTTCCCGCGTGCCAAAAAGCAGACCCAGCCACAGACCCCTCCGTAGGAGAGGGCTTCAAAGAGGTTGCTCTTCAGCTCATGCAGCCTCAAGCACAACCGTCTTGTCAGAGGGCCAGGCACCCCCCCTCCCCCCTCCCAGGAAATGCCTAAATCGAAGAGGCCTCAGAATGGAAGCCTATCTGAGGGGAATCCATATGGCCATATGATCTCTGTGTGTGTGCGTGTCCCTAAGCGGGGGTGGTTGGGTTGCCATGGTCAGCTGAAGTTTCGTGGCGAGTGATCTGCGCCACGAAACTGTGGGAGTTGAGAACCTCCCAGCGCACGAACAGTCACCACAATCTTCGAAGACAATGTTCACTTCCTGCTGACCCAACAAGCCATCACCTAGCGGGCGCAGGGTTCAAGGAAACATGTGTTAAGGAGCTATTCTTTGCGGAAGCGAATAGTTTCCTAGAGAGCCTCATGTACCCCAACTCGCTAGTTTATGTTTGCAAAGGCGACCTTCAACACTCGGTGATACCCGTCCTTACACTTTGCCCAAAGCCCAAGAGAGTTCGTTTGGCACACTCCAAGCAAATATGGTTTGGTGCACAGAACCCTTTTTCCGGCAGGAAGGGTTTGTGCACCAAACAATGTTGGATGGGTATAGGATGGTGCCTCTCACGCACTCACACACCCAACTCCCCAACCATGTTTGCCGGTTGGCATATAAAGTGATTCTCACACTCACTCACACACTTATTTCCATCAGGAGGCTGGACAGCATGGCGAAGCCCGGGGAAGCTTTGACTCCGCGCTAAGTTTTTGTTCGGCGAGTCGCAGGGATCTGAGCCGCCAAAGTCCCAGGATATCCTCTTCCGATAGTTCGCTCATGGCGAGCTATCGAAGGGGCTGAGTGAGGGTCAGCAAGGCCTGCTGGTAACCCGGAGGAACAAAGCACCAAAAACAGCTTGAAGCCCCTATTTTAAGGCGCTCTATCTTCAGAATGAGCAAAGGTGAATCTAAAAGCCCGTCAGGACCAACCTTCGAAACTTCCTGTCGGACACATCAGCATGTCGTAAAACCGAGTTCGAGGATACCCTTTTTGGGGTGGATCAGTGGGAAACCTGAAGGACAACAACAATGGTTTGGGTCCGCTGTGTTGACACATGCCCGCAGGCTCAAGGCATAAATGACACGGCAGCTGTCAGGCATAATCAGGCTGTGAACTTATCAGAGTCTCCTGGCTAGTTGCCTTTCCGTTGCATAGCGGACAAGCTTGACAATGGCCACTTGAACAGACACATGTGCCAATGGTCAATCAAGGCTCCTTCAGTCATGCTCATGACTCCCTCGAAACCAACCCGAGTTATCTGATTTTTCTTCCGGGGGCGCATGAACATCCCTCAGCTCCAGACATGCTGAGCGCCAAAAGGGGCTGCGGGACCCAGCTATCTCTGTTTCTCACTGCAGAAGGATACCGCAGGGGTCAAGTGATTTTTCCCTTCATCAGCTGCAATTTGGATGGTTTCCATTCAAACTGCCATTGGGGAGGTTCCAACAAGGAAAGTGCTGAGAAAGCCTTGCTTGTTGCCAGAAAAGGCAACGGGAACGGGGTATAAACAAACATACGAGAATCGAAAGATTCGCCAAGCTCCATCCTGCAAGTTCGCCCGAATTGGGTCTTTTCCCCGGGCCCCTTCGGGATCAAAAGACTCGGCTGGGTAAACACTACTTGGCAACATCCGGAGTACACAAAAAGGATGTGCGGATTCTGCCTCATACTTTGCCCACCCTTACCAAAACGTCGTTTTGGAGGAAGCCTGAGAGGTCAGAACAAACCTGTATGCATCAGGGATCATGCACCAGTTCACCCGAGGAACGGGGTGTCAGATATGGCCTAGCAAACGGTTCCTTTGTCAGCAAGCAACACCAAGCAACAACATCGGGGCACTACAAACGGCTGGAAAATCAGGGTCAGGAAGAAAGCATGACAACCCAGCATTCTCTCTCTCTCTCTCTCTCTCTGCCGCACCATCGGCAAGCCATCCACCAAAGGTGGGGTGCCAAAAGCCCACGTCAGGCCGGTTCAGCAAACTCAGCATGATGCATTTCAATTAAACCTCTGCTGTCCGTCATTAGTGATATTTGTCCATGCTTTGGAGTGGTTACTGTCAATGCTCAGGCAATCCACAGGCCCGCTTGGATCCTTGCACGGGACAGTCATGAACTCTCCGTGGCAATGTGGGTACCCTAAGTGGGTAGTATGAGCGAATATGAGCGATAAGTCCTACTTTCAGATCATGTAGGCTTGGCCCAGTCCCAAATCAACTGCAGATCTCCGGAAGTGAGATACTTACACAGGGTGACGCCAAAAGGGGGTTCCAACAACAGGGATCCTTACATTATACACCTGAACATTGCCTTGTAAATGGTGGTTTCCCTGTATTTTGGTGTTGAAAAAGCAACATGCTTCAAATGGGCAGGCAAAATGAATTTCTTTCAAGGAGCCCTGAACAAGAACCCGCTATTTTTTGGAATTGAACCAGGGAGCCCGTGAATTCCTGTCCGAACCTGGCCCCTTGCCCCGCCCCAAAATCCATGTTCAGAGCTAAAGGCCCGGAGACGGCCGGAAAGAAAACGAAAAGGCTGGAAAAATCGGACCCCGGCAGAAAAGGATTCTTGTCTGTTTTTTGCCAGTGGAAAACAAAGGGGACCCCAAAAAAGCCAACACAAAATGTGATGTTTATCGTTTTTGTTTTGCCTGGTGAGTGGAAACAAAGGGGACCCCTTTTTAAAGCAAGAAAGGAAGAAGGGGAGCTAATTCTGGGGAAGTACTATGGATGGAGAAAATTCGCCTCGCACCAGTTGCCCGAGTCAATTTACCTACCCAAACTTCCCAATGATGTTTGGGCCCTCAAACAGCCAGTTTTTGAGAACCCCGAACACCTCCGAGGTGTCTAATGGCGGGGCCGGGTCGAAAGCACAAAGCCCAGGAGCTTGTTGGGGGGTATCTTCAATTTTCCGGTGGGGTTGTCCTTTGGGCTTGAATGGAAGGGCCAAAGTAACCCCAATAAACATCATAGCGGCTCTTAGGCCATGGGGGAGGGGGCAAACTCAGTTGCCCGAACAAAATTTCGCCTTTTGGAAAAAACCTCGACGCAACCTCGACCAAAAAATCAGTTGCCCCCGCAAACCCGCGGAAATGGAAGCACCATGAGGGAACCACTGCGAAGTGACCAAAATCGGGGAAACCACAAGGTCAGTTCAGGTCGAAACCTTGATGCGCTTTGGGGCAACTGAGCAAAAACACACACACAAATACCTGGAGTCTCCTTCTGACCCTTCAGAAATGGGCCAATGACCCCATTGTTTTGGGTAATGACCAACCATGCTTTAAGGGTCATGGAGACTCCAGGTATAAACCCTGCATCGTGAACGCCAGTGCCCAGCTCCGACCTGATCCTCCGCTTTCTTGATGCGAAGGCCTCATGATTTCGCAGTTTCCCCAGCCAAAGCTCCTAAATGACTGCAACGTGTTTGCGGCGCGTTTCTCCAAGCAGTCAGAGTCCACTGAGGTTGCCCTGAATCCTCTTCTTGTTGCCTTGGTTTGGTTTCTGGATTTGAGCCTGCTGATTCGTGTGCCGAAATGGGAAACGTCCGAAACTCCAAGCCACCAATCCAAAACACCAACTACAGGAAAACTGAGTCCACCTCTCGGCATCCTGACCCAACACAAACAAACAAACAAACAAACAAACAACTAATTGTCATGGGCTTCTTGGAGGGTCTGGGGCCTCCTAGAGGGAAGCTGAGTCCACCTCTCGGCATCCTCCTGGCCAACTCTCGTCACGATCCCCAGGGGCATCTGTCATAACTTGAGGCTGGGACTGGTCCTTTACCTCTTTGAAGGGACAGGTCCAAGAAAAAAAGGGCCAACCTTTTGTGGGGGGCCAAACATTTTCTCCGGTATCTTTCAAGATTTCAAGAGGGTACCCCTCCTCCCACAAACATTGCACCTGTTGCCTACTTACACCTCTCAGTTTCCTACAATAACCCTGTTTTCAGCTATGCTGGATACCCCGGTCCCATTTTGCAAGTCAACCAGCCATAGTGGGGGGGGGTCCTTGTCCCCTGGCAACTTAAGTTGGCCCAAAAACCAGCAGGGGAAGACATAGCTGGGTGTTGAATCAGGGGGTCTGGAAAACATCAACAACACACATCCCCTTTTGGCTTCCGATTGTTTGGGACACCCAAGTCGGGACCCCTGCGGGTCAAAATGAAGCCACCAGCATATGGACCGCAGGTTTTAGTCTTTGGTTCCATTTAGGGCTTGCGCCATTTGGGTTACATATCTGTGGGTCAAAAATAGGTACCCGAAATGGAACCCTGGTAAAGGAAACATGGACTGAAACCTGCCGTCCATATCCTGATTAATTTCAATTTGGCCCACAGCCAAATGCTTGACATCCCTATGAGGGGTCAAAATGAAGCCACCAGCATATGGACCGCAGGTTTTAGTCTTTGGTTCCATCTAGGGCTTGCGCCATTTTGGCTACATATTTTTGACAACCACACTCGCGTTGCGTCCGGGTTTCCCTTCAGCACCTTAGGCCCGAGCCCCTGGGCGGTGGCCGGCGCTTGCCTCGGCGCTGGCAATTTTTGGGGCGGAAAGGCGTCAGATGGCGTCAGCGTGGAGCACCCGCCTCTTCCAACAGAAACCCGCTTGTTGAAAGGACCTGATCACCTCTTGGGGCCATGACTAAATATGGGATCCTCAAAATGGGAAAACCAAAAAGGTCAAAAGGTCGGCGTTGGGCAACTGAGCTTAAGCTGACCAAAGGAAGGACCGGCGCTCTTTGGGCTTCTTTCGCACCGTTTTGGTCTCTTGCAGCCGCGCCTGCGCAGGCTTTGGGTGGCGCCTGCCGGAGAGCAGGGAAGTTTCCAAAACCAGCAAACAACCTTATCTTGCTTGATTTTACCAAAGGTAGGCTGAATCCAAGGGGTTCTCATTTTGGAAGGAAACTCAATCCAAGCGTTTAGTTAGGATAGTTCTACCATGTTAGACTGTTGCAGTTAGGGATGCCTACTGCAAAGCACGGATTTCCTTGCATGTGAGGCAAAGCAGAGAAAGGCACACACACACACACCCGCAAGCGCGCGCGAGTAACCGAGTCGAGAAATAAAGGGATCGCAGCAAAATCACACTTGGGATGCCAAGGCCTCCATTTTGCACACCTCAAAACCACCTCCGGCCCAAATCGCAATGTGCTCATTCCACGGTGGATTTCACGCAGTGCGCAAAACAAAAAACATCCCCTGGCTTCTGAGCGGCTTTCGGGGCTGCGTTTGCCCCGAAGAACTTCCAACCGCCGGGCCTTCGTCGGGGCCTCGCACCTGAAGAAACTTTCGGGAGAAGGACCAAGGGTTTGGCGCTCCGACTTGCCTGTGGGTTCAATGAGTCTGGCTGGGGAGTGCGGCGGGGGGGGGGGGGGTAGTTACTTACTTACCTACCTGGGCTCCCAAGTCTGGCTGGGGAGAACCCGGAACTTGCATTGCGAACGGATTCCGCACCCACTCAGCTGATCGGCTGCTCTTGATACTAAAAAAAGTACGAGGCATGTGAATTATTGTTGGGCTTTAAAATCGCTGAGGCAACAAAAACAGCCAGCAATGTGCCCCACAAAAACAAGCAAACAAACAAACAAACAACCAACCAAACAAACAAAAAAACAAACAAACAAACGGACGGACAGACAGCGCAGACAGACAGACAGACAGACAGACAGACAGACAGACAGACACAGACAGACAGACAGACAGGCAGGCAGGCAGGCAGGCAGGCAGGCAGGCAGGCAGGCAGGCAGGCAGGCAGGCCAGGCAGGCAGGAAGGCAGGCAGGCAGGCAGGCAGACAGACAGACAAACAACATTGCTCGTCGCACGTTCAACCAAACTCAAGCCAGCAAACGCTTGGGGACTATCTAAAGTCCAGGAACTCAGGACGTGAAAAGCTCCGAGCGCCGAAAAACCAGGACACCCATAGAACGGGCCGCTCCGGATGGGGGCGCTTTGGCAGACAGTCTCTTTGGGGAAACGAGACCGGTTTCTTCGTCAGGCAAGCGGCAACATCCCCCACTTATGCTCCCACCAATTGACATGGAGCCCTTTGAAAGGAAAACAATCTTCCAGGACCCCCCTGTCACCTTTCAGGTTCCACTTGAAAAGGGTGGGAGGGAAATTAGGTGACAAAGCCCAATCCCCGCAAGCATGGCAAGGTTCAGCTGCATGCCTGTCTCGCTACTCAAGGCATGACCTAAGCTCCGACTCTGAACCAGGATGGAGTTGAACGTCCCCGCATTCTTGGAAACCAGCTACAGGATTTGTTTGGTGAAATGGCTGTGGCTCAAAAACCCGGTACCACAATGGCACCCTGGTAAGTGGAAACATGGACCAACACCTGCGTAACCCCTCCTGTGCAATTTTTCGAGCCACACCCAAATAGTTCGCCAAAACCCACGCTCGTTGGGTATGGTTTCTCTGACCCATAGAGCCTCTAGGTGACCCGCGTAGCTCAGCACCCTGAGGCCCCACACACATAGCGCACGAGCGCCTGAGCTGCAGACGACTCGAGCAAGATCCTCAAAAGCTGCTTTCCGTCACCATACGAAATTTCAAAATATGTCAATATCCTAAGGTGAGGGGCCCCAAGTAAAGGACCTTCGTCATTCAACATGGTGGTCTACTGATTCCCCTTAAGCCAGCCGAACCCCCCACATCCTCAAGATGGGTTTACCGCGTTTCCCTTAAGCCAATTTCGGATCTCGGGTGCCAACGACCCCTCAAACGACGGACTCGCCGCCTTTCGATTGGGAAACGTGGGGAGTCCATGGCCCGTCGCCCCTGGCCCGTCGCAGCCCCCGATGGGCAGATCACCTGTAGCTAAATATCAACCAAGGGGTTACAAGGTCGAATCGCTTTGGTTGCAAGTGAGTAAGAATCGCTATATCTGAACCTTTGCTCTCTACCCTCAGTCCAGTACAATTGATGGAAAGCATGGTAATTCGACCGTATGCAGGTGTGCGGTTCCTTCTGACCCAACATCATTCAACCAAAGCCTTGTGCCATACCAGTACAAGCCATAGCTCATATGAAACCATGGCAAAAGCTGGGTCCGCAATAAAACAAAGCTGAAAGGCTGAAAGCGTGAAGGGCCCATAGGGGCCGATTCCCCAATCCCAATAGGGCCTAATAGCGACTAAGGTAATAGGGTTCTGTTTGAGGACCATGGTGAGGGGGGCCCCTGTTTGAGGGGCCCATACCATACAAGATGTGTTCTGAATGCCTTGTGATGCTTCGGAGAACCACTAAATCAACAACCCATCAATCCACCGAATCATGGCCCATGGCCCATCCCGCAGAGACAGGTGCCCTGTTGGTTTTAAACATGTCCGGTTCTTCTTCTCGGGGGCCCTTTGGTGTATCCACCAACCGACTTCTGCGGTGCCACCCTGCGCTGAGCTTCCTTGAGGGGTGACATGCGAGCGCTGCGTGGAACGGTTCGAGGTCCCGGAAGGTCTTCCGGCCTCCTCCACCATAGCTCTGAGGCAAGACAGCTACATAGCCCGCGAGAGAAACAGGTTGAACCCTGAAGCCCTGCCTGCTCGTTCCCATGCACATATGTATCTTCCTAGATATGTGCATATATATATATATATACACATCATCCTATACATATAGAGATGCATCTCACTACATATACTGTGTATATGTAGTAATACATGCGCGCAACTATAATATATACATACATATATATATATATATGTATGTGTGTGTGTGCGCTCTTGTGTGCCTCGATGCTTACAAGGCGTTGGCAACGCGTCTAAAAGCCGACCGCCCTTGAGCCCGATCCGGCACTAGCTCAAGCTGAAAGCAAACACATCTGCCGCGTCTGGCAGACGCGAGAAGGCGGGTGGTTTGTTTTTTTGCTCACGCCCAGGGGGGGGGGGGGGGTGATCTGGTTTTTGTTTTCCGCGAAAAGGCCGGAAATTACCCAATCCGAGAAACTAACAAGTCAGAAAGTCAAAAAGCAGATTTGCTTTTGACGACCCCCCTAGTCCAAACAATCAAGTTCCGACCCAGACCATTCTTGTTGGAAGCCCGCGCTCTTTGGAAACAGTCTCAAGAAAGCCTGCAACCTTACTTGCAAAAAAGCAATTGGCTGGAATGCAGCCTGAGTAGCTGAAGCAAATCCAATGCAAACGGCGCTTCCCTCCTAGACAAGACCATTGCTCTGCAGTCTGTTAGGCTACCCTCAGCCTTAGCATCAGCTCTGATGGAAGCTTCTCTTTGCTGAGGCGCCCTGGAGACAGATCCCCTTGTCTAGGCCTCCAGTGGAGAGGTTGGAATAAGGGTACCCGTTTTTCTGTAGTTTATCTTAGTAGGGGGACCCTCCCCCCCAAAAAAAATTAAAAGGGCACTGGACCTCCCACCAAAACAGTAAAAGGGCACTACTGGGGGACCTAGTAAACCAAATGGGATCCTTCTTTAAAACAACGACATATTCTTAAGCAACTGGAGGGCTTTGATGTGAAAGAAGCCGGCCCGTCCATCTAGCCATGGTTCTTGCCATCAGCCAGCCACGGACCACAGTTTGAGGCAAGTCGGGTCACGTTTTTCTCTCCCTTTCGCATTAACCCAATAGTTGCACACGCGCATCAGCACCCTCCGGTGGATTGAAACAAGGCGCACCTTGCATGCCAAAACTGGTCCAAATTGATAGGGGCTCTGATATATTCCCGGTCCTGAACAATGCCCCTCCCCCACATTGCGGTGTCTTTCAAAAGGTCATGCTTGAAATGGCTCAGTGGTATTTAGAAGCCAGCCGAGTGCACCGAAAGCCCTCGGAGAGCGCTGGCACGCACACATCTCTGGCGAAAGGGCATCAGCTCAAGCGCTCCTCCTGTTACGGGGTTGGGGGTTCCAGAAAACACTTGCTAGGGTTTGTTGGCCCCCCCCCCATGGCCTTTAGTACCCCTAGGATGAGGGCCATCCTCGAAAAGGGATCTGCAGATTGGAGTGCCAGCTTAGGTGGCTACCTCCAACCTCCTGGCGCCGAAAAAAGAGTCAAATGGACCCTCTGAACGCAATTCGCCAACGGACATAGTTCGACCGCAGGTTCATCATCTCTTGTGAATAGGGCATTCTTGTGTTGGTTTCCTCTTGTGAACCTAGTACGTCAGGTCCTAGTTTTCCATTCAGCACCCATCGGAATGCTTTCTGCTGACATTATTTGGGGACACAGGGCTTCTGGGGAACCACCTCGATTGCTGTTAGACAAAGAAGACCTCTGCATTGATTGTCCGGTTGCAATCCCAGTCATTCTCCTGAGTTCTGGAAGAAACAAAGTTTGTTTGAGGAGTTCTGGCAGGTGTCTGGCGATACCTTAATAGTTCAGGGATGGGAGATGCACGTTGATGATTCTTGGTTGCTGTTGACCCCCCTGCAAAAAGTTTAACTTTTTGGGGGTTCAGTGGAACACTTCTTGATTTCCCCAAAAGTTAAAGTCTAAAGATCCGTTACCCAATAGCAGTCTTTCCCGCATCCGTTGCTCAGGCGCTCTCACTTCCTATGCCCAACATGACCCCCTGGCGAAAGGGATCCTGACTAACAGGTACTTAAGCTAGGACCTCCATTAGAGAGCTTAGAATAAGTTGGTACCCGATTTTTTCCGGAGCCTTTTTAGTAGGGGCTTGCCCTCCCCAAAAAAAGAAACCGTAAAAGTTAGGGCACTACTGGGGGACCTAGCAGGACTTAAGCCGTCAACTGCAGATGTATCACCCAACTCGCATTTCGCGCTCAAGCTGCTGCCGCGCAAGCTGCTCCAAGTGAGAGATTTCACTTGGAGTTCCCCTCAGGCTCATGCTGGAACCTCCCGAAGCCCTGAATGATGCAAGGGAGACTACTCTCAGTTGCAAACTCTGCGAAGCCCTGCTAAAAGTGACCAACTTTTAGTGGTTCAATACGGAAATCCCGTTAGTTTGCCAAAAGTTGAAGTGCTAACATCCCTTGGCCAAATGCGCCAAAGCCACTGGTAACCGATGCCGCTGCAAAGCTGCGGGCCTCATCTGATTCATCCCTTCGCGAAGGCCATGGACTTGTGCCAAGCAAAGCCCTGACTCACCAGGGGTCACCTCGTCCCAACACCTAAGGCAGCATCTGGGGTCAAGCAATGCCTATATGGCTGTGGGTCAAAACCAATGGTATCCCATTTTGGGGTAGGTGCACCACCCATTTTCCTATGTCAGTGGGGATTGGGATGTTCACTGAGCGTACGGGGATTTGACCCGTGGCCATATCTTTACAAGATGTGCAGTAATTACATCGGGACTATGCCCAGAGAAATGACCCAATGCGGGTCACCTGAAACAAGGGTTGACAGGACATGGTGTAAATTGCAGTGCGCGCAATCCGAGGCTGCAATAACAAAGGACCCCCCGCCCCCGAATAAACTTCCTGGAAACCCATGTTCCCATTACGGGTCATTTTTGGGTGCCCAGATTTGGATTCTGAATCCAGGGTTGCAAATTGGATTGAAGAAACCAAGGCCCAAGGAACTCTGACAAAGCCCACTCAAAGTCACCAGTCGCCCGACTGCCTTCGCTTTGATAGACCAAGGGGCGTGTGAAGGCATCTTTGATGCGCGGCATTTGGGTGTATTGGGATTGGGTGTATTGCGCCCTTGACCAGCAAAGGGCAACAGTGAAACAAGTGGCCCTACATTTGGATAAGCACTTGAGACCTACCCATTTTTCGTTTGTTTGTTTTCCTCGGAAGATGCTCCAACGCGTGCAGGCTCCCCAAAGTTGCAAGCCAGCTTTTTCAGGGATCCTTACATACACCTGAACATTGCAACTTGTAAATGGTTTCCATTTCTTTAGTTTGGTGTTGAAAAAGCAAAACATGTTTCAAATGCTTGCAACATGTATCTCTTAAGGAGCCCTGTTGCGTGCTACCTTTAGTGGCTTCCATTGAAGCCGAAATGGCCACATGTTTCAAATGGGCAGGCAACATGAGTTTCTTTTAAGGAGCCCTGAAAAGAGATCCGCAAATTTGAGCCCCAGCTGCTTAGGTAGCAGAGAACGCCTGTTCCCTGCCTTCTACTTTCAACCTCCTGGCGCCCTTTAAGGAGCCCGTTTTTTGGACGCCGTTTTGTTTTTCTTTCCGCCGCTTCTTCACTTTTTGGGACCCCTGGCCCGGCATTCTTTGGGACGCCAGAAGCGGTGCTACTCCTCGCCCGGCTGCTTCAACGGGAGAGGCAGCGTCAACTCGACCGCCAACATCTCACTTCCAAACGAGTGGATTGGCCCAAGCAAGTAATACCACACTTGGTATCTACCACTAAACTTCTAATCCTAAAGTTTGAAGTTCAGGAACTCGGGAAGTGAGACATCTCTTCACGATGACGGCCCCCGGCTGCTCACGCGCCCATTTTCCCCAGGAAGGGCAAGAACAAGCCATGAGCGCCCCCTTAAGGCGCTGGCAGCTGACATGCAGCAAGCCAAGGTCACTCGCAGGTGTGGCGTGTCAAGGGTCATCAAAAATCGTCTAAACGAGAGCTTACCACAGGATCCCCGAGATGTCCAAATCCACCATACTGTGGATGGTTGCGAAATCCGCCTCTCGCACCACTTTGAAACCAGGGTTGAAGCCATTGCTTGGTATTTCCGTTGGGGAATCGAATCATCCCTTGGGGAATCGAATCATTCCCCTGGTGCCTGAGAAAGGGATTTCGCAACCATCCACCATATCACAAGCTTGAAATCCATTTCGCACCACCGTTCAGAAACCCAAGGGAATGATTCGATTCCCCAAGGTAAATACCAAGCAATGGCTCCAACCCTGGCAACTCATCTCGTGGTGCGAGACTCGCGGATGTCGCAACCATCGCCAGCTTGGACAAAGATCCGATCCGCCGGGAGTCACTGGGACTGGAAGCCTCCAGGCCTCGCGAAACAAGACAGGTGGCTTTTGCCGGGCTTTTCAAAAAAATGGGCAGCAGGCGAGAAGTTAGACCAGAAGTAAGCCGTGTCTGGCGATGAAAAGGTTTTCTGACGGAAAGCCACAGGGGCTTAGATGCGCGAAACATGCGCTGGGACACCCATGGTGGTTTGAAATGCTCATTGAGGTAGACTTTTGCACGGGAGGTGTGGGTGGGGGAGGGAGGGAATGACTGTACTCCTACCCGATATCCGGTTTCAAGAATTGTGGGGGGGAGAGTGGCATGCTGCGTTGGATGCTCCTGGTTGTGGGCCAACTGCGCGAATGAAGGCGCATAGGCAGGCCATACACCTAGCAACTCGCCACGCGCGCGATTTGTTTCTGACGCTTGCAGGCGAAGAACCCTCGTGTCTAGTCCATGTCCTCGCTCCTCACGCTGTCTGAATCTGCCGCCATGCCGATGTCTTCTGAATCTATGCCTTCAGCCATGGCCTCTGACGAATCCGGCTCAAGCTGCGAATCAGCAAGGCTGTCTGCAAACGCCTCGCGATCAATTAACACGCTGGTGTCGGTGCCCATGATCTCTTCCAAGCTGTAGCCCGCATTTCGGATACTTGCAAAATGCAGCCAGATTTGCTCAAATGCGGAGGTCCCCACCTGAGGTCGCAAGAGATGCCTTTCAAAAGTCACACTTGACGGGCGGGTTGTCGACACAACAACGATTGAAGATCCAGACAAAAACTTGGACATGTAGGCAAAATTGCCAGCAAAAGGAACAAACACATCAATTCATGCAAGTGCCCCTGCCTGTTCCTGCACTTCTTGCAGCAGCTTGATGGTCCTCCACCGGTGAAAATATGCCAGGCACCGCTCATCGTCCGCCTCATCACCCTCCTCCCAGTCACCCAACCTCGGCACTGATCGATTCAGCCCAAGTGACAATTGCTTTGAAGTCAACAAGGGAACAAAGGACACCCAACAAAGCACCTTTCTTCCTGAGTTGATTGGGTAACTCCAAGCTTCCTTTTACTAGATTTGTCCTCAGCAAGTAGTTGTTGCAAGTCAAAAGGGAAAAACGGAAAACCTACCAGGGCAGCAAGGCCAAAAGTTGAGCTGAGTCTGGCAATGCAACCAGGATGGATCCACCTCCAAGATCTGAGTGAGGTACATGGGGCAGCGCTTTGGATTCACCTCCCATGGTCCGGGAATGAAGCTGGGGATTTTCTTACGGGATGGTTTATGGAGGTCATTCCTTCCCTGCTGACCATACGCAAGATAGAGTCCAAACCGAACCTGGTAAAAGGATCTGCAAGGGTTTACCCAAAATCATCTAGGTCCTCCAGTAGAGAGGTTCGAATAAGGGTGCCTGTCTTTTTTCTGTAGTCTATTTTAGTAGGGCAACCCTCCCAACCAAAAAAAGGGTGAGGAAGGGCACCTAGCTGGGGGACCTAGTAGGTTTTGCTTGTGGCTCAAGAGAAGGCGGGCACAAAGAATTGGAATGGGGGCAATCCGCGTGCTACCAGCTGAAAAATCTGCTTGGCAAATGCACAAAGACACGTACAATGCCCATCTTTACCAACTCAAACATCCCGGTGCCCAATGGGCGAGACTAGTAGCCGAGGAAGCATCTTCTCCCCTTCTGGCCTTCTTTTGGGTCGAAGGTCATGGGCTGTTTAGCATCCAGAAAAAAAAAACCACCCTCACCAAACATCTCCAGTGGCCGTAAAAAAAAGCCGTCTGCTTGTTGGCGCTTGATTCTCCACCCGGCCCCCCACAGGCCACCGTGGAAGAAGATACTCCCATGCCTCCCAGCCCGCATTGTGCAGGAAGATATCCTCCGCTGGCCGGCCCGGCCGGGGCTGCTCCTTGTTGCACTCCTGCATACGCTGGACGCCCTGAGTGTCACAAGAAGAAATCCAACCAACCATTCTCAACCATGGTAAACTACGGGAATCAAAGGGTTCTCCCTTACCTCCCTCCCCTGTATCTTTCCGGGCAGGTGCTATGGTTCACACGGGTAAGCTTGCCCGCCCGCGCAGGTGAGCTTGACACCATGTCCTGACCAAACCTCCTGGTAGCTCCCAGTCCGGCTCCCTGTTTGGAAGCAAACTTGGAGACCAGCTCCGGACTCGTCCGGCTCCCTTCCAACCAACAGCCAGGCAGATGTTTTGTCAGATTTGATGTGCCCCATGGGACTTAATTGCTCTATGGCTTGATTCCCCATTCTTTGCAAAAACCGGCTGTTTTCCTGCGTTTCCGAAGGTTTTCTAGAAAGCAGGATCCCTGGAAAGAATGGGGAAGGTACCCCTAGAAATGCAACAAATTCGCCGCTCCTGCACCGACAAACCGCACAAATAGCACCAGGAGCTCTGGCACCTGGGGCAGGACATGTGCGTGCAGGCCTCGTCCTTGCGCCCAGCCAGGCTGCAGTTGGGGCAGGCCATCCTTGGATGTTCAAAACTTGGCCGACTTAGACCAACAAAAAATTAGCCTCTGTTAGTCAAACGGGAACAACCCAGGTGACAACTGTTTTGAAGTCAACAAGGGAACAAAGGAAACCCAACAAAGCACGTCTCTTCCTGAGTTGATTGGCTAACTAGGTCCTCCAGTAGAGAGGTTAGATTAAGGGTACCCCATTTTTCTGTATTCTATTTTAGTAGGGGAACCTTTCCACCAAAAAAGAAACGGTAAAAGGGCACTAATTACTGGGGGACCTAGTTTTGTTAGTCAAACGGAAAAACTTACAGGGTTTGCCGTATGTCCCCCTAAAACATTGCCTCTAGGGCAACTCACCCAGGAAAACGCGGTGTTTTCGGGTTGACGCAGGCAACTGCCTGAGTTGCCCAACCAAACATCAACATCAACTGTTTGCTGCTGGCCAACCTTCAACTGGGAAATGGGCGTGCCTTAAAATGCGGGGACCTTCGCAGCATGTTTCCCTTGTTGTCGCTTTAAACTCATCCGAGAGCGCTCCCTCAAAAAAAACTAACCCAAACCACTTCCCCCCAATGGGTGATTCCATTTGCCCCCTACAAGAACCAGGGGGGTCAAATCCCCAAACCACAAATCCCAACCATCAACTATCAGCTTCCCCTTGATTGGTGGTCTGGATTGTTGGTTCGGGATTTGACCCCCACTTCCTTATGAAACGAAATGGGGAAGGCAGCCACTTGGAAGCTGCAACTAAGGGTTCACTCGACCAGATGCCTATTAGGTAAGGCCCGGTGAGGCGAGCGTCTTTTGACCCTTCTCCAGGGCCTCATCCACCAGTCGTTTGGCCTCCCTCAAGCCAGCGCAGCCCACCACGTGGGGCCGCAGCTGCACGTCCAAGTCCTCGGCCGAAGTTGAAGTGCCCTCCGGCAAGAGCTGATTGCACACCTGGCCCGGAAGATTGCACCTCCAAATGGCTGTGGTTGTCAAAAATAGGGAAAATGGCTTGCTATGAAAAATGGAAACAATGACTAAAACCTGTAGTCCCCTAGTGGTGTAATTTTGACCCATACCCATGTGGGGGTTGACCAAAAGACCAAAGGCTCCGTGATACGTGGAATGACCATTGGTTGGAGGTTCTCCACCTAGATGATATTTCAACCACACAAGTTACACATAGTCATTCTGTTGATCAACCTATTCTAAACATCTTGGACTCCCTCAAGACTCGGCTTCCCTGTTGGATTGGTTCGGAGGCGAGGAAATGGCTGCCCACGCCAATCCAAGCCACCAATTCAGGGTTCCCTGAAAGACTTGGACTGTTGTGCAGAGAAATCACGCGAGCATGCGATCTGAAACCAGTGTAACATTTCGATGTGTTTGTGCTATTGGCCCCCTTGCAGGTCCCCAAAAGGCTGCGATCAACAGGATGCTGCTTTCAAAATACTTGGCAATTTGGGCTTGTGTCGCAATGGGAGGGGGACCAACCATCCAGTTAAAAACAACCTGAAAAGGGTACCCTCAAAAACAACCACACGCACATACACCCACGCCCGCAGGCAGGCACACGCACAAATATCGGGAACCCCGTTTGCTTCGGCACCAGCACCAGTTTATCGACATGACTTCGAGACTCGCGCCTGGCACTCGCCCCGCCGGCAAAGCTGACACCACCAAAGCACTGGCTTGTCGGCCCTTACCTGGGTCAGCTTTGCTTTGGTAGCTCAAACAGCCCAAGTAGCCCAAAGGTCACTTCACAAACAATTTGACGGATGAGGGGTTCCCCAATTCCGGTTTTCCTTTAGGTGTCCGTGTAAAGCAACCTGAAATGGGCACGCCCAAGGCAAATTCAACAAATCTGGTTGCCTTTTACCACCCAGTTACCTCCATGTACCCGCAGGGGCATCTCATCATGGTCTCATCTGCGGCTAATGCCTGCTGCGCTACAAACTCTGCCACCCGCTTCCTTGGATCTGACACGCAACAAGTTGACGGGGCCTGCTTGAAAGCAACACATAAAGGGACACCAAAAGGGTCAAATGCAAAACTATGTGGTAACACGAGTAGAACAGAAAACGGAGGAACAACAAAAGGGCAAACGCGCAACAAGGGTGCGATAACTCATTTAGCCAAACAGGGAACATGAGGGAAAACCAAAAGGGCAATGTAAAAGGGCGAGTCCAGTCTGGCAATGCTTCTGCTGTTGTGGATTCAGTTGCCGCTCGAAGGAGAGGACTGGAATCTCCGCTCTGCACATGGAGCACTTGGGCGGATATGATGTTTCCAAGTCATTGAGGATGGAGGACACAAAGACCCCGGTGCCTTGGTGGCTATTGCTCCGTGAAAAAAAATGACTTTTGTGGATTAGCCGGAAAACAGAACATGTGTCCAAAAGCTTTTAAGGGCCAAGAATGCCGCCGTCAAGGCCGGCAAGGCGCACTCGCTGCAAAGAAAATGCGAACTTGGGCAGCAAATACCTTCTCCAGAATCACCGCTCACAGTGAATTCGCATTGGCACACAGCACAGCTCTCCTCTTTGTCCGCCTGCCACCGGCAGGCCAAGCCTAACCTGCTCTGGCTTCCCATTTCAGGCGACCAACCTTGGATTAGCCCAGAAGACCCTACTAGGCGGGGCCCCTGAATAAAATTCTTCTTATAAACAGGAACCACCCCTGATTAGCACAGTTTTCGGATTAATCCGCAGTCGTCCTATTTTGCCCCACCCTGCCTGACCCCACCCCACCTCCCCACCCCACTCCCCACCCCTCCCCACTCCCCACTCCCCACCACCCCACCCCTGCCTGGCCCTTTCCCTTCATGTCGCCCTTCTGCCCTTCTCGTGCCCGCGCGGCCGCCGCAGCTGCGGCGGCCGCAGCTGCCGCCTTCTTGCGCTCGAACGTGGCCGCCACCGCGCGGCGGAACTCCAGGCGCTCGCGGTGAATCGTCTCCACGTCTGCGCCTGCGATTTCACTGGCGAAGTGGGGGTTACTAAGTGATAGGTTCCCTTTCAAACCAAGAGATGGGGAAAAACAACGCAACTCCCAGCAAATAGAGGATTCCTAAGTTGCCCAAAGGACCTGGAACTAAAAGGTTAACCTTTTGACATCATAACTAGGCATGGACCACAAAAGAAAAAACAACAGGTCAAAAGCTCGGCTTTGAACACCTGAGGTTCAGCTGCCCAAGTCCATGCCTTTTCCTGGGGAAACGTGAAAGAAGAAAAACATGGCATTTCAAAGGAGGCTGTTCGGCTACCCCTTTGTGTAAGCATGCTCGAAGTGCCAAACTGCTTCAACCTCTTGTTGGCCTCACAAATTTACCGTCGCCTGACGTTGGCGCGCCACCGCTCAGTTTGCCCCACCAGGTGGCGGTCTCGCTTCGCGCGAAGCAGGACACGGCGTGCTGGCGCCAAATGGCTGCCTGGCTCTTTGGACCTTCGAAGCCTTTGGCGCTTTCTCAAAGGTTTTAAACATACTAACCAACAAACCTCTGCCAAACACCCATCCTTTGCCAATCCTAGCTGGGCATGCGATGAGCCAATCCTCGTGTTTGGATGAATCCGCCAAAACAAAGCGGCGGACTTCCTCCAAGACAAAAAGCGGAATCGCCCTCTGAAGAAACAAAGGGATCCGAGGCAAAAAACAACATGCCCGCGCCCTTTTCGTTTCCTGTGGGGACATTGGGCAAAGAGAAAGGACCGTCGAGCCTGGCAGGACCTGTCGCAAAACCAGGCGTTCTGGCACCTTGAGCAGCGCTTCGTCGCCTCCTCCCCGCAGTTTTCACAGGGCCCAGTAACCAACATCGCATCGCGATCCTCAGCCGAAACATTCGCCCAGCCAGGGCAGAAAAAAAAAGCGAATCCTTCTGGGAATAGCAATGCTTGGAACCTACAATCACCTTAGCCTGAATATTGTGGATGGAAGACATTCCGCACCACTTGAAAGCCATGGAAAACCATTATTTGTTGGGATTTACCGGGGAATCATCAGTGCAGCGTTCCTTAGGTGGCGCAGGAATTCGTCCATTCACAGCGTTCGGTTTGGTGGTTTGGACCCAATTTGGCTTCACAATTCCTTTGACCGGGGGTCAAAACCCCAAACCACCAATCGATACGAACCGACACAGACCATGAACCATGTCCCCAACCAGGTCTGAAGATGTCTGAAACCCTGAAGCCCAATAGCCCGGAGAAGAAAGGCCACCCATCTTTGTTGGCCTCAAAAGGTTTCCTAAAAGATGCGAAAGGGTGTCTCTCAAAATGAGGGAACCCCAGAGTTTCACATGTTAAGCCCATACCAAAACAAATGCTTCGAAACATGACACACCCAAATGCAAAAACATTGCCAATTGGCAACTGGGGATCCCCAAAATCTGACGCCGACTCGGACATGTCTTCTGCAAAGTCTTCCGTCGGCCAGCCGCGCATGTCTGAGTCTAGCTCCTCGTCAGACTCTGGCCGCACGTTGTTTTGCACAACGTTCCTGGGGGGCCAACTCTGGGGAACGCCAAGCCAGTTGCCCAGTGACCCTTGCAGAAAAAGTGAACAAGTGTGGGTCTGACAATGTTTAGTGGTAAACCCACCAAACACAAAGGGGAAATGATGACACCAGTTTGGAACAAAAGGGACCAAAAAGAAAATGTCCAGATTCTACTTCATATTTAGTCAATCTTAACATTGAAAACGTGTTTTGAGGAGACCCCAGATTCGGCTCATCGTCAGACAGCTCAGCTGCCAAGCGGTCCCACTTGCTGTAGTCAATTGTTCCAGGGCGCTTCATCGATTCTAAATTGACCAGCCTGAACAGCTGCGGCCAGACATGTATCTGGGTGAACCAATCATGAAATGGTTCGATACGATGAGAAGAGATGGTTTGTGAGGCCACTGCACTTTGCTCGGATTTGTGATGAGCCTGATCGATCAAACCGGTCGAATGCTGCCTGTCCTGACACGTCCATCCGAAAAAAAAGAAGTTGCAGCACATCCTCGCTAACCTTCATGCCTGAGGTGACCACGCGAGGAGTTTCCGCTTTGTTGCAGTTGCAACATCCAGCTAAAGGCTGTTGTGTCCGGGGGGTATCACGTCTAATCCCTTGCCGGTGCTATAGCTGAATACCATGCGGTGCCACCGAGCCAACTAACACGGGCCACTCGTTGGAATCGAAGCCAAAATCCTGTCGGGTCGAGGGCTTACCCGAGTCACTCCAACAACTTGTCCATCCCTGTTCTCATACCGTTGGGTGCTGTAGATCCCCCAGCAAAAAGTTTAACTTTTTGCTGGTTAAAAGGAAATATGAGGGGAATCCAAAAACTTTAAGTCTAAAGATCCAACCCAATAGCGGTAGAGTAGCCAGGGGCCTATTTTGCAGGGACTGTAACAAGCTTTGGGAGCTGGACAAGCTCCACGTCCAGCTGGGGAATTAAACAAACATGTGAGATGAGATAACTCGCTTTGCAGCCATACTGCGGCGCCCTTCCGTGGCAGGGTATCAACTGCAAAAATCAGCCACCGAAGCAAACCCCGCCAGGGGGGGTTATCGCTGAGCCTAGGAGAAGCCTTTTCTGCCTTATGAAGACTTGAGTATTTCTTTTTGTGAGGGTATCCTTTTTGGGGTGGTTAAAAAGGCAAACCGAAGGAAAACCACTGGCCCCCCCCCCCCAAAAAAAAAAAACACGTCCTAGCAATAACCATGAAACAAATGTATCATAACTTCGCCCGCCGCGTACCCCCCTCTTGTCTTACAGGGCGATATCCTCAGCGGCGAGACGAAACAATGAGTAGGTCCTCCAGTAGAGACGTTAGAATAAGGGTACCCTTTTTCTGCAGTCTATTGCAGTGGGGGAACCTGCCAAAAAAAAAGGTAAAAGGGCACTACTGGGGGACCTAGATGACACATGTATTGCGCCTGCCAGTTCTTGCGTTGCTCCCAGTATGCTGCGCAGCCACCTTGGCAAATCCCGGTGACACAAAAACGGCCAAAGGAAAGGAAATAAACCTGTCCATCCAGTAGCCGTGTGCTTTACAGATATTTATATATATATATATGTAGAGCCGGCTTGACCAACTGAAGGTCAAGGCTGAGATAAAATAATACAGGCATCTCGCACCGCCTCTCCACAAGCCCTGGGGCTTTCATCAGCAGGCTCGTTTCTCCCTCCGCGGCACGTTCGCTGAACATGTCTTGGCGCTTTTCGCCAAGCCTGAGTAAACTCACTGGCTGGTCGCCAAAGGGGAAGATAGGCAAGCCAACTCAGGGGCATGTTCAGGTACGGGCTTGGGAAGTGTGCAGGCTAAATGCCACTGTATGAGGGGTGTATACTGCCTTTCAGGCTTATATTCATGGTGTATACACATCCATACCTGAAAATGCACCTGAACTGGCACAGCCCATGTTAGCTTTGCCTCGCTTTATTTCCGCGGATGCCCATCTACAACCCAGCAGGCCAGCAGGGCACACAGAATCCACGCTTGGCAGCGCTTCTGAACCACACATCTTGGGGCACGAAGCATCGGAACCAGAGCCAACAACATGAATCAGCTTGAGCCAACATCCCTTCCACCTGCCTGCAAACAATGCAGAAAGGATCCGACCGCCCAAGACCTCTTGCTTCAGCCGCCAGACATATCTGCGGATTCAGGGGAAAACGTGGCACAGTAACTCAGCAGAAAGAATGGAACCAAGCAAACCTGGGCAAATCTACAAGTTCCTTAGCAGAACTCGTAGCTCCGAAAAGCTCCCTTAGAACCGCATGCAAAACACAAATCTCTTCCTGCTCTTTTCCAAGCTAATTTCATTTGCTCAAGCCGCCTGGAAACAACAAACATAATTCCAGTAGTCTTAGATTCCCTTTAAACCAACCACGGAAAATAAACACTCTTAAGCAAATAAATGAAAGCCTAGACATCAACAAAACGAGCCTCTGCCCTTGACGAATTCCATTGATTTCTAGGTCCTCCAGAGAGGTTCGAATAAGGGTACCCTTTTTCCTGTAGTCTAGTAGGGGAACCCTAGCTGGGGGACCTAGATTTGGTTGCTTGGCGTCTACTTCAGCTTCCCCAGCCACTCTGCGAGCTCCTGGGTGAAGACCCCCGGCACCTCCGTCGCCTTTCTCGGGCCCCGCTTCGCCGTTCCGACGGGCCCCGCGGTCGAGAAGCCGGGAAATTGCGCCGCGCCGAATTGGAGCTGTGGGTTCTTCGCGACCCGCAAGGGGAAGTTGGGGAAAAAAACAAACGAAAAAGAGGTCGAGGAAGTCGAAGGGTCCCCTACATAGAAGCGAACAACTCACGGTTCTGGCTTCCTTCGCCGTTGCTTCTGTTGCTTTCTGCGCTGGGCAAACATCAAGGAAGGGCGAATCAACTCAAAGTCCGAGTTGTTCAGTGACCCTGAACCGGAAAGACCACAAACATGGAAGCCTTGCTTGGGCAACGATTTTGGGTTGGGACCCAACCCCGAAGAAGATACGGGCCCACTGAGCAGGATTAAATCACAAGTCTGGAAAACTCATCGCCTTTCGGGAAGAGGCTTGAGGGCAGCATGCGCAGCTCCCTGAGTGGATTGGCCAAAGCAGAAGCTTGCTTCTTACCTCTCCAGATTCCAATACTAAACTCAGGGGCCAACAATGTTGTAACAAGGTTTGTCACAAATTCGCTACCCAATCATTTGTGGGTCTCCCCAAACGCTCCCCCCCAATTGAAGGTACCCCCCTGCAGCCTCAAGCCACAAAACCTGCCAGAAAAGGGGCTTTCAAATTTGCTTAGTCTGTGCTGAAACCCATCAATACTAAGCCACTAATGTCGGTGCCCGACTAATCAAAGAGCACCAAATACAATACAGTGCTTCCAAAATTGTTCCGGAACCTCAAAATGAAAAGGTACCAACTACAATTAAGCTGTTCATGCTCTGTGAGGACCGAAGGAGCTCCAAACTCCTTGGGGGCGTCTTCCCAAAAAATAGCAGTTTTGGGGTGCGTGTCCAAACCTTCGACCTTGAAAGGGGGGGGAAGCACCCGATGCTGACCAGTAGGAGCCGTTAAAAAGAGAAATGTAGGGCTTCCCTCACATTCAGACCGACCACCGCCACCGCGGCCCGCCTTGCAGTCGGAGATGACTCGCGCGTGCCGAAAGATCTGGGCCAAGGTATCCGCAGAGCTTGCTGGGTGCACGGGGTCATCCCTCGCAGTCACGATGAGGACCTGGGGCGATGTGGGGCGCAACGGGACATAGGGCCTAAACACCCTGCCCTTGCCATGGAAGCCACCAGCGAGTCCCTTATAAAGGAAAATGACGGTGGACGCAGTGGACGCCCTAACATTTGCAAGTAGGGATATACAGTGAACCCCGCATTCTACTAATTACCATGTACATGTTATTTCCCCCATTTTTGTCTTTCTTCTTTTTTTGGTAGTTGGATGTGGTTGGGGTTCACTTGCATGTCTTAGGGAGCCCCAACCTCAACCTCCCGGGATAAGCTGACCAAGGCGTCCGAGTCATTGCCAGGGTACCGGCAGATCCGGCGCAAGCCTCTCCAAGTCCTCCCGAGGAGGGAAGTCTGCCCGCGCAGCCCCCAGCAAGACCTGCATGAGGTCCATTGACGTCTAGAAGGGGACAAGGGGACAAGGGGTGCTCTCTCTCTCTCTCTCCCTCTCTCTCTCTCTTTCTCTCTCCCCCTGATTTTGCGGTCCAACATTCAATCCCCAATCTTCTGAAGTGTCGTTTTGTTGCACGCTCGCTCCGACCCAAGACACAATAGCCGAACAAAGGTCGTCCACCATACGGGGGGATCACTAAAGGGTATCAAACATCATTCACCACCCCAGCCCAACAGGTGTAAGCGCATTGCTCCCTTGCCCGGTAGGGAGACATTTGGCTGAAAATGCAAATTGCGGGCGCAGCCAAGCACCCTCAGCGCACCCTCAGCCACACCCATTCTGAAGCGGGACCCTCGAAAGCTTCCTTCCATAGGCCCCCACATGGCCCCACACCCTCAGGGGAGTGGTGGAAAACCCACCCCAGTGGATCAGGTAACCTACCGCTATAGTGGGTAACCAACCATTTTTTCGTTTTGTTTTTTTTTTTCCAAGGGTGCTATAAGGGTAAATGGAATCACTGGGCACCACTTCTTGACGGCCAAGGCTGCAGTACTGTGCAAGACACAGTGCCACTCATACTCTTCAGACGCTTTAGGCAACACAGTCACTAACTTTCTGACGCAGGGCTGCGCGAGTTTGGCAAAAAAAGCCTTTCCAATGACAGTTCTTTGGTATGTGTGTTCTTCCCCAGAATTAGTTCCCCTTTTTGTATTGCTTGTTTGGGGTTCCCTTTGTTTTCCACTAACCAGGCAAAACAAACGTTGTTTTTTTTTGCTGGGGCCCTATTTCCAGCCAAGTGTTCTGGACGCCTCTGACAAAGGAGCGATCTTGCGAGTTGCGGTTTCATGTGTGGCGGTTCCATGATCTGAGCTACACATCACATACTTGCAATCTAACTGTCAAGGTCCATCACCGACTTGTGTGGTGCCATTTACCTCCCTTCAAATTTGGAAGTAAAACAAACAGAACCACGAAACTGGGTCGAGGCGCTTGGCGACACCCAACCCCTCCCTCAACCCCAACCCCAACCTTTCTCCACTTCGCCCCGCCGATTGGAGCTTTGGTTTTGTGGCTTGGACGCTCCCCATTTGGTTTCAACAGGTAGTGGTGTTCAAATCCCCAAGCTACCAATCCACACTTCAAATAACGGGAAATACATGGAGCAACTAAAACCCTTTCACTAACAAAGAGTGATTGTTAATTAAAGTAACAGGGAAATACATGGGCCAATTTGGTCCTTAAATGTCGCCCCTGTTTGGACTGGAGAACCGGCGCTTCACAACCACTCAGTTGCCCCGCAGGAACGCAGAAATGGAAGCCCCAGCTTGTGGAACCTTGACTGCGAACTGACGAATTGACAAACTCACCGAAACCACAACGCCGCGAGGCGGGTTTGGGGCAACTCCTTGCGAAATCTTGACGAAGAATCGACCAACTCAGGGAAACCAAGGGGTCATTTTAGGTTTCGCTTTGGGCAACTCAGACCATAGGGCCACCCCCCCATGCTCCCCAGGGACACTCCCCCCAGCCCCCCTATCCCCGGCAGCCCTGGCAGCCCCGGCCCAGCGGCCTCTTTGGGGGGGCCCGTCAAGGTGTTGGCCTTGGCCTCTAGCACCCCACGCCGCGCTTGCCGCGTGGCCCACATGCTGGGCACCAGGTACAGCACCAGGCCCTGGGGGGTGGGGGGTGGGGGGGTGGGGGGCAAAAGGGTCGGTCTAAAAAGTTGCTTCCCCGAAAGGGAACCGAGAAAATCGCCCTCTTTCCAAATGTGAAATGAGCAAAAGGATTTTGGAAGACAACAATCCTCTTAAAATGGCCCTGATCGAACTCCTGGATGGCTGGACATGCGTTCCCCTTTTGGCAAGGCAGATCCTTCTACATGTGTCAAAGGAGGCTTATACTTAGAACGATTGAAAACGCTGAACAACAAAGTGTATGGAAAACCCCAACCTTCGATAGCGCATCAAAGCGCTTAGGAAAACGGCCACGTCTTGAAAACAGTGATGTCTGGCGATGATTGCCCTTTGCGCAAGTTCAACTTTTTGTGGGCTAGTGGAAATGCACATTTCCCCCTGAAACTTCAAGGTCCAACATAGTCAACAATATAAGGAAAAGGCAGTCTTTTTGGAAGGAAGGACTCGCAACGGCGCGTCCCGTCCAAGAGACCCTCGCCTTCACCGCGCGTGGACACAACAAGGCCGCCCACACCGCAGCAGCGGCGCCCATGGAGCAGCCACCCAAAATGAGGCCGCTGTCCACGGACTGCTCCTGAGCTTTACTTCCTTGTCTCGGTTGCTCTAGTGGTGCGCAGGTCATCTCTAGACTAAACACTTGACACTTCTTCTGACCTCATGTTGTGTCTTGTTTTCTCGGTTGCTCTCTGCTCCCTTGCTAGAAGCGGACAACTTTTAGTGGTTTAATGGGGAAACCCATTAGTTGACAAAAAATGTTGTCCTAACATCCAAGCAACATGAAACAAAGTTGTGCTCGACCATCCACCGGTATGAGCTCCTTTTTTGTCTGGTTGCTGGGCCTGTAAAACCAACAAGGGGTACCCTTAAAAAAGAGAAGGGGCCATCAGGGCCAAAGCAAATAAGGGCCATGAGGGCCAGGGAATAAGCATCACCTCAAAAAGACTTGGAACCTTGTAGGTTGACCAGTTTCTCGCTGGTGCGATAGGGAATGATCCAGACCGGGTGTTGGGCATGAACCGGTCGGAAGGGGATTCCCGAATCAAGGAAGCAATAGGGGATGTTTTTGTTTGGGGGTCATTCCAATTCATTCCCTGCCGAGAACCAGCAAGTTAGGTTTGACTCCCCTCCTGGCTGGAGCCAATTACTCACTTGCCCCACAGGCACCCAGAAATAAAAGGTCAACCTTTTGGAACCCATACTCGACGTGGACCAAAAGGGAAATCCAAAAGGCCAAAGGTCGGCATTGAACCACCGAGTTCAAGTATACATTGTCACCTGTCCTAGCAAGGCCTATGATGGGCTAGTCGGGTTCCTTTGCGTTATCGGTGGTGTTCGGTGGTCATGGCGGTGGTTGCCCGTTTAACCTTTACAACTGGGGAGTATCCCTCCAAATCAAACCAAAGGGTCACTCCCCCAGCGGCAGCCCCTTTTGGATTTCCTTTGGCTGCTATTTGGGTATGAATCGCAATTGGGAACCGTCTGCTTGGCAGGGATTCATATCCAAAGTTTAACACGTTTAGGGGGTTGCAAAACTGCACCGCACCCAACGAAAGCTGCGCATCACTGGCTGGCGATGTTTTGTTTGGCCGGGCCAAGCAGCTGGGGCCAGGGAGTGCGCAACCTGCAGCATGTCCAGGCCTAGGCACCTGGCAAACGCCAGAATGGGAGACTGGAGAGTGACCCTCCCACCAACTAACATGGAAGTGCACAGAACCCTGTAGAAAGACTACTTTCCTCTTGGAGATGTTAGTTGGTGGGAGGGAACCCCCTTCTCAGTTGCCCAGTTTGGACCCGGAATTACCAATCACCTTTCGTCGCCACTAAAAACGGACCAAACTTGGAAAACCGAAAGGTCAAAAGGTCGATGCGCGACAACTGAGCCTTAGGGACCTGGATAAAAGGTGATCGAATCACCAATTTGCACCATAAGGCTAACATATGTAAACTTGGAAAACCAAAAATAAATTTCAGGTCGGTTTGGGAGAACCGAGTAACCGGATCAACAGAATCTGGCACTAGAAGTCCAAGTCTCTACAAGTTGCTCTGGCAAGTGGGTTGTACAACCCTAGGCATAATCAAAGGGCAGTTCCCCTTCCAGGTAGATGTTTGCTTGTGCCCTTTGACTTTTTTATGGGGGCAACAAGTCCCAACCTGAATCACACCGTTAGCATCCTTGAAAGAAGATTTATGTGGGTGTGTCTTGTTTCTGCGGGGACCCAACCAAAAATGTGTGTTTCCTTTTGGTTTCCCTTTAAACCACACCCAAAAACACTTCCTTTGCTTCAGGTCTCTGGCAGAAATACACATAGTTCCAGAAGCGATCAATTCCCTTTGAAAACCAACAGGGCGGAAATCAAACAATTCATTTCAGCACACTGGAATCAGTGGGAATAACGCCCACTTGCTTAATAGTAGAGAGGTTCGAAAAAGGGTACCCTTTTCTCTGTAGTCTATTTTAGTAGGGGAGCCCTCCCCAAAAAAGAAAGGGTAAAAGGGCACCTAGCTGGGGGACCTTTGGATGACATCCAAAAACATAGGTGTCCTTTTAGGGGCAATAGATGGCCCTGGTAGATGATGAAACCACCAGGTGAACCAGGAGTTCGCCATCTATTTGTCCACCAAAACCACCAAACAAGGACACCTACGCCCAAAAAGGGCTCAATAATTAATGCGCGTGTTTTTTCCCTTGGCTTTAAAGGGAATCGATTCCACCCGAACAGGGGCCGGCCCAAGTCGGACACCCGAGCAACGGCTGGCGGCTGACGCCTCCAATGGAACTGCTCGGCGCCGCGGCCCTGCCACCCGCTGCTCTGCCCGTGGCCGCGGGCGTCGAAGAGCAGCAGGGAGCCCAGGCGACCGGTGCTCAGCACCTGGGGAGCTGGGGGGGGTTGGGGGGTGGGTTTGGGGTGGGGGTGGGCCCCACCAGGGCGGGGTGGGGGGGTGGGTTTCGGGGGGGTGGGTTTGGGGTGGGTGGGGGGTGGGTTTCAGGGGCTTGGTCGTCTTGTTGGGGCTGGCTTCAAGACAACCACAGCAAAACCACGAGATTTGTTTGGGTCTCCCGCAGTGGGACACACAGAAAATCCAAAGCCTCCTGCCTCCACCTGTTTTCCCAAAGTAAGACCCTCTTCAGGCCGCGACCACATCAGGTCCATTTTTAGAGGCAAACGGCTCAAGCCAGGAAACTTGAGTAGGTTCGAGGACAAAGGGACACGTTTGCTTGAGCAAACTTCGGGTAAACCGTAGTTGCCCCTCTCATGGTACCCGGCTTAAAACGGATATGACTTGGAATGAGAACCGTGGTGGGGCCGATCGCATGGTTTTGATCCACGACTGATTCAACCACCTGAGGCCGCGGCAAAACCTCAATTGAAATCGGCTGCACATGTGTTTTCTTATCGGTTTTGCGTCAAAGTTTATCGTTTTACACATTAGATATATGTTCAACCTTATCGTTTTTTTTGCACCTTGTCGTTTTACCGGGGTTCGCGCATTTTTGGACAACTGCGCGCATCAGCTCTCATGGTGGCTTCAAAGGCTTTCTTCGTCGGACTCACGAGCAGCAAGCTCCTTCCATGCTTTTTGTTTGCGCTTTCTTGCTTCAATTTGTTTGGCTAGCCTGCGCTCATCAACTGCAATAATGTGTTCCAACGTAGAGTCCAAGACATGTTCCAACATAAAAGACAAGTATGCTGTCCATGGCCGGGAGACATCAAAAGGAAAGCTAGGGTAGAGTGGCTAAGTTCCTCTCAATGGGCAACTCCTCACGGGCATGGGTTCTGTCACAAAGCGTTATCGTTGTTGTTATCGTTTTCAGCGTCGTGACTCGGAAGCCTCTCCCGGGTCTCAATGCTCCAAGCCATGGTTGTGAACAGGAAGGACGGAAAGGGAGCAAACAAGACTGAGCAAAATGCTAGCAATACGTGCATTCCATGCTCCAAACCTTGTCGTTTTCCAGCACAAACAACACGGAAACACCCAAAAACATTATCGTTTTTTTGTACCTTATCGTTTTACCGGGCTTCGTGATTGTTCAACACAATGTGCGCGACTCTTACATCCCGCAAGCACGAGAGTATTGCCAGTACCTCACCTGGCTGGGGCCTATTGGGCCTGCCTCTCTGCCTGTCTGCCTTTTGCCGATTTTGCCCAAGAAAGCCTGGAGAGGTTTTTTTCCTCCGTCTGGCTCCGTTTTTGGTGCAAAAAGCGCTCAAAACGGCCAACTCCGAAAAGTTCGTTTTTTCGTGTCAGACGGCAAGTGGGATGCCTGAGCCTCAAGTTTCGCTCGTTTTCGGTCGAAAGCAGGCTCCAGACGCTCACTTTGCTCAGGATTCCGCTTTCAGCCCGGAAAACAGGCGAATTCCATCCCGCCGAGCTTGATTAAAAAAGGGGACATCCGGCCGAGCAATGTTAACCACGCGAACCTGCATCCCTGAATCTCACTGGACTCATCAACCTTAAAAGGGAGGGCTCCCCCCAAAAATGAAGGATGCCCTATCAAATTGAACACCCTATAAATAAACCGGCGGCTTGGGTCAACATTGCCGCAGCTCCGGAACCGGCCACACCTTCAACCGTACGTTGACCCAAGGCAAACCGGGTTCCCTATACTGCCGCTTGGCACACACATGGCGCATCTCCCCGCCCACAGGACGCCCAATGAAAAAAGGCTCAAAGCCACAAGACAAACCGGGTCACGTCTTTGAAGCTCACTGAAGAGGAGGACTCATCGTAGTCGCTCATCCTGCATGGCGAGATAGGGGACTGAGGGACACAGAACGAGACCCCCCCCCCCCGTCTGAGTGCTACATAAGGGGGCTAAAAATCATGTTTGCCAAGTCGGCCAGAAATTTGGCGCCTGGACTGTGCCCTCCGGCCGAAAATGCTAAAAGAACCAAGTCCCTCCTGGCTTCTTTTGAGGAACTCTCAAAGTATGAGCTGTTCGTAGCCCAGCGAGGTGATACAGTCTGGGCCCTCCAGTAGAGAGGTTCGAATAAGGGTACCCTTTAATCTGTAGCCTATTTTGGCAGGGCCCCCAAAAAAGGGTAAAAGTGCACTACTGGGGCCTAGTAGTCCAACACTCTTCCTCCGCGATTTCTCTTACACAATGCCCCAAAGAAAGGTTGAGGTCCTATCACCATCTCAGTGCTTCTAGTTGCGAGTAATCATTATTTGGAGGACAAACCATCAGGTAAAACATGAAGGTGCAAATGCCTCGTATCTTCTAGAGTGGGAACCGGATCCACTGGGCGAATTAGGTCAAGACACCAATGTCAACTCCGGGATCCCTACTTTGCAAAAAAAATAAACAAACACTATGATGATGAATGCACATATGTATGAGCTGTATGATGTACATAATATGTATGGCTCTGTCTCAAAACGGAGGCCGCGCCAAAATGAATCGGAACTTCCCAAACATCGACCTTTCCCACAAGCCAGGTGACCAAAAGCCAACACCATTCTTGTTTCAATTGTTGCTTTGTGTGGGCTCCCGGGTCCCGAACCCACCCCAACAAAAAGGGATTCGAAGGGTGAAATGCTCAAAATCGAATGGGACTTCGCCCATGTCTCTTGCCCGCGCGAAATCGCGAGCGCGAAACCGCGCGAGACCGCGGCGACCGCGAAAGCTTTGGACTTTGTGGGCCTTTCATGCAGGCCATGGGCGAAGATGAGCGTCGGCCCTGAGGCGTCCTTGAGGGGAGTGGCGAGTGCCGAGTGCCGGCTGGGGCGACGCACCGATGGAACCCCCAGAAATGGTTCTAGCATTCCCGGCCCAAGAGGGCACCCGGCCCTTAGCGGCCCTTGAATAAGCCTGGTGGGGTTTCTTCGACCCTGGGCTTCAATTAATTTGGCTCTGGGCATGATAGGGGCGTCGGATAAGTTGCAAGTCTGATGCAGTCCCCTCATGCCAACAACCTGCCCAAACTGAGGCAACCGGATTGGCCAAAAGGAACCGCCCAGTCCTCAGCAAAGATCCTCTTGCTGGGCAAGAGGGTGCCATCAAAGAGTCTCACAGCTTGTTCACCGTGCGCGGATTCTGCAGCCCCCATTGCGCGTGGCTGCAAAAACTACGGGGCCCCGGGTGTCTCTACCGGGAGTCTCTCTTTTCCAAAGGACGAGGAAACAACAGAATAATGGAAACCCCGGATTAATAACCGCCTGGATGATTGAGTGTGGGGAGTCATATAGGGCAGGTTTACTAATCTGCCATCAACATTACTAGGAATCCCTTGAGAAGATTGGCTCTTCCTCTTCGGCGCTCTTCTGACAGCCAGCTTGCATTCCATGACCTGCGCTGGCCGCTCAGACATGCTCGAAGCCTTTGGGCCCGTGCTGCAATCGAAGCGACCTGAGATCCTTGAAGAACTCCTCCTGTCCTACCGTGGATACCCCCTCCGTAATTAGGTCAGCTCCCTTCCAACCAGCCAAAAGGGAAATATCATCGATGTGCATTTGCCACGGAAGCTTGCAAACCACGACTGCAGGAGTCTTCGTTTGGGTAAACGCTGCGTCTCACCAGCTCAATGGATCTGGTTCCTACCTTCAGGGAGGCGGGGGTCCAGGTCCCGATTTTATGGCTCAAGTCTCGCAAGAAGGGGAAACATGAGGCTATACATCGGTGCTTCAAAAAAAATGGAGCTTAAGGTGGAGACTTTCCTTCTGGTGTCCCCGAAAACCATCCAAAACGGGATCTCCTTGAGAAACGCATACCTCCTAAACCCCATGTCTTAGTGAAAATCCCCGGAAAAATCGGTTCCCAACAAAGGCACTGAGAACGTCGCAGCCACGGGCCGGGCACTGAGAACGTCGCCGTGGCTCAACGGACCAAGCTTTGGCTCTCAGACCGGCGGTCTGGGTGCGCTAGGGGGTAGACCAACCAGACGGCTTTTCTTTCTCCGCCCTTTGGCAACTGAGTCAACAGAAGTAATGTTAACCCCGGATTAATAGACCCCTGGTTGATTAGTAGGGGGGTGTCCACTTTTAGTGGGGATTCATCACTTTTGCAGGGAACACCCCCCTAATAATGGGCCGGGTTTATTAATCCTGGGTCGACATTAATTCGGTTTTGGAGGTGTCAGAAGTTGATTTGCCACTGGACAAAAACAAGGCAATCCTTACATCTTGGAATCGCCAGGTTGGAAGCGATAGGACACGATCCCTACACTTTTGGGGTGCTTTAGGCAAACTAGAAACAGTGGGCTATCACGGACATGCACAAACTGTGGCGAGTGGTTGAAAGAACGTCACCGCGCTGTAAAAGCGATCCTTGGGGTGGGTTGTTTTGTTTTACCTAAGTTAGGGAACCCCTCACCCCCAAATCGGTGAGCTGGCTCTGCAGTTCCATTCTTGCTGCTGCCAATCTGCTTGAGCCCGGCTTCGTGAAAATCGGTGGGGCCAAGAGCGCTGAGTGAGGAACCTGCAAGGGCATTTTCTGATGATCAAATGTTTGCCATTGGTTTCTTTTTAAACCATCCACAAAGAGGGGTCCGCCGTATCACCTTTTTGAGAAGCCCGCAGGGTCGCAAGGGTGGCACTAAGGGTTGCTCACAAGTGGCCCCGAACAGATTCCATGGGCAGCAAGTTTCATACAAGTGGGTAGCTCCTGCGGAAGAATCTACATTCATAGCTTCGCAGGTTGCTTTAGATGGCAGCCCAAGACAAAAGTATCTAGGGCCTAGGAATGCCCCCTCCTTCCGAACCCAAGGGGGCCGTACCTCTAATGAGACAGATCAAATTGATCCTGTCGGTTCGACAGTTTGGGGTTCATCCAGCAAATTCTGGCCGTACCGGCCCAGAAAAAAAGTCTTGGCGCCGGGCGCTCAGCGGAACCTAGAGGGAGCAGGTACCCTTTTGGGTCTTGGGGAAAAAAGCCCCCAAAATGGGTCATGGTGCCTTCATGTGTTGCTTTGCGAGCCCCTGCCTGAGTTTGAGTTCAAGAAGCAAGCTAGCTACACGCGTATGGTTCCCTCGGAAGGAACCTTAAGTACAATATTCGACCGAAACCCCTGTTGTGATCATAAGCTTCCCCTTCAATCTGTTTCAGCGCACTTGCACACGACCTGATTACCAGTTGGACCCAAACAGTCCGAATGCTCGAACGGTTGAGTCGACCAGTGCCAAAACCACAAAGGCCGGAAATGATTGCCCAGGTCCGCTCGTAACATGTTTGTTTGAGCAAATTTGCTTCATGTTGCTTATTGATGGACCTGTCCCACCTTCGATGTGTTTTTGGCTTGGGGTGTGCCCGGCCAGCCAATGGTCACCCCAGGGTTTGGAGAATTCCTTGCTCAGAATCCCAGATCTGGACGAACTGCTTGTTTGCTTGGGACTGGTCTGGATTGATTTGGTCCAATAACTTACTTTCTATGTTGGGTTAAACCAAATGAGTGTATATTTTTTGAGGGTGGCGGGATCTTTGCTCCTTGGTTATGTTTTTGGCTTCCACTGAAACCCGCAAACTCCGGGCACTCCGCCTACATCTTGGCCCGCGAAACAAACAAGAGAGTCCAGGATCATGGACATCTCTCCGAAATCGAGTCAGGTGTGTATGGTGTGTGCCCAAAAGGAAGGCCCACTACTTCTTTTTTTTTGCGGAGCCCCCACACGGAGGCGCCTCCAAAAAACGCGGCGCAACTACAGTTTGGCCTTTTGGCAGGGAAAAACACGCACCTTGGGGGCCCACAGAAGATGCCCAAAGGAAATGCGGCCATGCCACGTGGTGTAGTAGCCATAGTCTGAAGGCCTCGTGCTTGCTGGGAGAAATGTGCCGTAGGGATTTGGAGCCCATGGCGCAACAGCTTTGTTTTTGGGTTCTTCCCTTGAAACTAAAAGGGGAACCTCAAAAGCCACAGCGCACACGCGGCCATGTTTACACGTTGCTTGCAGTTGGTACGTGATTCTAAAAAATAGACAGCGACAAAATCACAAGTTTGTTGGGTTCTCTACGTTGTTTTTAGAAACAGCCGTAACAACTCCATAAGTACCTTTTCATTTAGAGGTTTCGACCCAGAAACAGAGGGTGCATGAGCTGACTGAGCATTAATTACTCGCATTGGTGGTCGCCCTATGCAAGCAAGGGACCTCTTGAAAGGAATGCCATGTGGTTTTCTGGTTGGATCGGGTTGCACCCACCTTAAGTTAACTAGGTCCTCCAGTAGAGAGGTTGGAAAAAGGGCACCCTTTTTTTTGCAGTCCATCTTAGTAGGGGAACCCTCCCAACCAAAAAGACACGGCAAAAGTTGGCACTGCTGGGGGACCTAGTTAAGAAAAACAATCCGAGCCAGCTTGCAGATTGGAGAGCCTGCGAAGCAGAGAGGTGAATCCACCCACCGCACACCTCAAGTTGAAGACATTTCGGGACATCATGTCCGAAGCTGGCAGGACTGGGTGCCACATGGTGAACCACCAGGGCCAACAAGAGTTTGTTGGGGGGCTTTCACATAGTGGCGGTGGTGTGGTGTGGCCGCCCTCCCCCAGCAAATGTCCTTAGCACATGCTTCGGAGGGGTTCTTACATGTGTTTTTTGGGACCCGAAAAAAGTACGGCTCCCCCCCCCACCTCCAGCCCTCCCAGCCGCCCCCTCCAACCAAACCTCCCGCCCAACTCACTGAGCGTCCCAGCCCTGGGGAGGTCTCGCTGGCCTCCTTGTAGCGCCCAGGCATTGAGAAGCCCTGGCCGTGGGGGGCTGGGGGGGTGGGGGGGTCGGGGGGTTGGGGGAAGCTTGGCGGAGGTGGGTGTCGTTTTGTTTGTTTCCCCTGTTGTTTGCCCAGTCAAGGGGAACCGCTGATTCTCGGGGGTGCCACTTGGACTATTTAGTGGTTGCTAGACTTGAACACTCCCTGTGTTGTTGTTTTGCGGGCGCCTGCTTTAGTGTCGGGTGGAAGGGGGAAACTCCCAAAGGAAAATCACTCATTTGCGGGGGTCCCCTATTTACAAACTTTAAACTTCGGCATGCCTTGCTGGCATGCCGCAGAGTCTCGAAATTACGCACCCATTTGCAGAGCACCCGTTGAACGGGGTCCTCCTTAAGGGATACATCTCAACACCGCTGATTGAGGGAAGCCTTTCATCATCTGGTCGAGTTGAGCATTTGACTAGCCCACATGCATTCTTTAAGCGAACGGGCTCCGGTTGCCCCTGAATCATCACCCCAAATCATGTCCATCATGTTGGTAGCGGGATACAACATGGCACCCAGCGTGGCGAAGACCCTGCCAACACAAAGCTGTGCTGGTTGACAGGGGGCAAACACAAAGGCAACAAGTGTTGAGCAACCACAAAGTAGTCCAGGTGCCACATTAAAGCCGAGTGGTGAACTTTAAGACCAGGTGGCAGTCAAATTCAACAATAGAAAGGTATGAAGGTGAGAAAGGCAACTCCAGGCATATCCCAAAGTGTCAAAATCGGGACTTGCAGCCCCAACATGGCTTGTGTTTTTTTCCCCTTGGATGTGTTGTTTCTCCCAAGCCGGAACTTGCATTTGCTTAAGGCGACTGGAGAAAAATTAAATATGTCCGGTAGTGACAGAGTCCCTTTCAAACCAGCAAGGGGGAAAAACGACATGTTCTTGAGCAACTGGGAGTCGATCTTTGCTTCCTCCTTCCGACCGAGTGGATTGGCCAAAGAAAAAGTCGCCGAACTGGTTGCTTGCCCACCAAAATGGGCCAAACCCAACGAGCGGCCAAAGTCCAACAGACCTCCGCAAAAGCCAATGGAGCTGAACAGGGCGCCGGAGCCCGTCGGAGCGCGCGGATCCCGCGCCGGCATGCGCTTCTTGGTGCTCTGGGCCGCATGGATGGTGTCGTAGGCCGCCGGGCCCGGAGTCGCCACACCTGCAGTAAAACCCCCAGCCGCCAAGTGGCTCGATCTCACCGAATGGATTCCATGGGAAGAGCACAGACCCCTGCAGAAAGACGACTTTCCCCTTGGAGAAGGGGAAAGGCTTATGCACTTCCATGTCAGTTCGGAGGGAACCCCTTCTCCGTTGAGCAGTTTGGACCCAGAATTGCCAGGTGATCAGCTGTTGTGGCTTTGGGCTGCTAGGAGGGTACTTGCTGGCGCTCAGAAAATCCACAGTATGAGTGGTTTGCCGGTTGGTGTCCCTGTAGAACCAATAAGGGGTACCCTAAAAACAGATGCACACCCGGATCCCTTTCATTCATCCTTATTCTTGCTGGTGCAATAGATTGAAGGAAGCCATAAGGGATGGCTTATAAGGGGTCATTCCATTTCTCCTTCCCTGCCGAGCACCTGCAAGGTTCGCATTTTCTGGGGACGGACCCTCCTATGAGTACTATGGGCTGTGGTTAACCCATTACACAAGCCAATGCAACACACACACGCACACAGTTGATCTGGAAAATAAGCCACCCTGGCTCCTGGGACTGGGTTCCATGGCAACGTGGACAAGAGACTACCCTAAACACGTTGCAACCTGGAACCGTGCAGTGCACTCGAACCGGAAGATTATATGTTTTTGGTCTTCAAACAGTTGTGACGTCGCACAACTTCCGAAAAACGAGGGAGGGGTCGGAAGCATATTTTCGTATCTGGGTAAATCGGTAGATCTGTCCCGCGGGAAAGCCCAAAGAGGACGCCCAACAGGGCAACAGGGCTTTTGGTTGGCGAAGCCTAACGCAAATGCCCTCAATGGTATCAACCCATCCGGATGGTTGTCCTTGGGCTTCATCCAAGTCCCCTACATCTCCTCTTCAAAGACATTAGGCGTGTGGACTTCCGCAGAAACAAGTCAGCATGCCCAAGCAACAGGCACCAATACCACAGATTCGGAGATGCCCACTCCGGAATGGGCGGGGCATCCACTACGTGAAGGTCCATGTGGCTGCAACCATGGCAAACATGGGCCTAGGGGCCCTCAGGCACGTCGAGCCACAACTCAGTCGCCTGCCTTTGGTGTCCGCAGACTGCGCCAAATAGCTGGCCCTCGAATTCAGCGGGTCTCCGCGGATGCAACCCGATCCCATTTAGTGGAGGTGAACCAACCAAACTCAACCACAAAATCGTGATATTTCATGGTCTTATGGAGAAATGGGTTTCCTTGTTCCCCTTGCAATATGGTATGGTCCACCATACCCAGGGTGGCTCCAAACCATTTGGGAAGGGGTGGTTGTGAAAACCAACTTGGCCCCTTAAATCCCAACGGGCACTCTCCCAAGTCCTTGCCAATGGACCTCCAGTCAGGTCCCATGTGGGTGGGCAACCAGGTTCTCCGTTTCACCTTGGACTTTGTGCTCTTTGATTACTCGTGGCATTGATCTGAAAGATCGCGAAGTACGACTCAAAAGTAGAACCTCAATTGACTTCTTAGCATTCTGCTGCTGCTTCCCCACTCCTGGTGATTCCCCGGCTATGGATGCATTCCATGCAAGGAAACCTGGGGACTCACTTCTCCGCCAAGACGGTTGTGCGAAAGAACCTTTTGTGATGCCAACGTCGGCCTTCCCTACGACTTCGGGACCTCAAAAAGGGTTGCCCTTGAGTGCTCGTTCGCACAGACTTTGTATGTAAGCGCCTTCCCTGAATTAACACTCTATGATCATGTGCCGCAATCCTCATCCCTGGACAACAGTCGGGACTTTCTTGATCTTGCTTGACCCCAACTCACGAAATCAAAAGGCTGAATCCATACATCCACATATGAACCCCTGGTATGAACCCCTGGTTTAAAGCAACCCTTACTTGTGGCTTAAGGGAAATCGGCCCCGCAAAGGGTTCAAAATGGCCATGGGTTCATATATGGGCCTCTACTTTCAGCCTTTGACCAAGCCCTTTCCCTTTCAAAAGTCCCTTTACGCGCTGCCTCGGAACGGTCCGGCCTGGACTGGTGGTTCGGAAAGCGATGGCCCTTGGCAGCGCCTGGCGAGTCTCACGAGGAGCGCGGCTCGAGCGCGGCGCATGCGCGCATGGCCTCCCTCGAGGAAGACCCGGGGCTTCAAATCCCCAACCAAAAAATGCCAAAGCGCCATGGGGATTGGGTGGCCTTTTCCATTCTGTTCAACCATCGTTCTTCTCCAAAACCAGCTTGTTTCCCCAGGGTTTTGGGTGGTTTTGATCCCAGGAAAGAATGGGGAAAGTACCCCTAGACTTTTCGAAACATAGATGGCCCTGGTACATGGAACAAAACCTATATCTAAACCAGTGCCATCTATGTTTAACTAGACTCATCTAAGAAGGGCACCTATGACCAGGAAGATCCAGGAAGTTACCCTTCCTCCAAATATAGAACCTGGCAGAGTGTACCTGGAAGATCAGTTTCCTCTTAAAGGAACCCCCTGTGAGGTGCTATGTTAGTGGGACGGAGGGTACCTGAATCTGCTTGGTTTTCGCGCCCGCTGGGAAAAAAATATGAGCCAATGTAAACCCCTTTGCTTCACAAGTGGATTGGATCCAGATAATGTCACCAGACTTGTGGTTTGCCCACTGAAATTGTTCAAACCCCCAGAAGTGACTAGGTCCAGGATTTTAGAAAGTAAGTTGCTTCCGCCTTCTTGGCCGCATGTCCGCTATTTTGCGGCACCCCCTAAACCTTTTTCAGACAAAGCAAGCCCCAGGCAGGTCCATGCATCTCCTCGCAAGCCGAGTCCCGAGTCCGAGCCCCTCACCTCCAGTGCTGGTCTCATACCTGGCCGGTTGCACGGAAACATATTTCTCATCCATTTGCTTAAGCCACCTAGAAAAAAATCACCTTACTTCCTGTAGTGATAGATTCCCTTTAAAACCAGCAGGGGAAATGGCATATTCTTAAGCAAATGGAACCTGGAACTCGGATGCCGAGTCTTGGGTAGAGCCAAAAGGCCAAAGAGGTGCCACTGAACCGCTGGAAAAAAGACGTGCGGCAATGCTTACATGCCTGTCATTGAACAGCAGGCAATGATGCTTGCATTCGCCTAGCCATGCACTAGTTTCATACGGCTTGAGGCATCGTTGGTACGGTTCGCTGCACCTGCATTGGAGCCGAAGGTGATGAGGTACTACTAGAATTGAGACTGCTAGATCAGGCAGGCACTGAAACACATGATTTGAATTAAATTGGTGAAACATAGTGAATTGGGAAACCACGGATTTACAGTTTGTGATTCCAATTTGTAAGTTGCGAAGTCAGATGTCCAAGTTTGTGAAGCGAAATAGTGACAACGGCCAATCGATAAAATTCACTAAAACTGAATGCACTGAACCAAATTTCACTATTGAAATGACATTTAGTCAAATTTAGAAAAGATTAGCGATACACTGAGATTCCCTAAGTTGACATGGCGAAATTTAGTGAATGTTAATCAGTTAATCATGTGCAATGAATTCTCATTTGACTAATTGGCATAGCGAAATCTAGCGAGTTTTGCTGAACATTGAAACCTAGTGAAACTTGGTGAATCGGTCAGGAAACGTCATCATGTATTATCATTCACTAAACATCACTATTCCCACTCATGGGCAATTTGAATTCCAGCATTCCCATTCGCTTTCATTTGCTAAGTTTCACAAAATAACTAAGGTGTGTGGAGTCTGTACCTTTTAGCGGGAATCACAATACTAGAGCTAAATGTCACAAAACACAAACTTAAAGAAAAGCCGAGCACATGAGAGTTATAACAAAGAGCTTCATAGCATTGCACTCGGGCGGACTGGGGAGTGGAAGGGGGCAGGTAAGCAGAAGAAATGCTCACCAAGCAAAATACATAACAAACAACATGCCAGCGAACCAGAAAACTTACAGACCAAATAAGCAATCAAGCAGCCGAGCAACCAATCCACCAACCAAGCCAACCCGCTAGCAAGGTGGCTGGCTAATCAGCCAGCCAACCAAAGGATTATAAGGCCCATCATGTTGAGCTAGTCCCCTCCCCCCCGCCATTCAGTGATCCCAAGTGATGCTTCAGGTGCATGATGCATGTTCTTGTTCAGTCTTGCCACCATGAACTTGCAGAAACCCCAAAGCAGAACCCAAAACGCCATCCTGGGGGTCCAAATGCCCAAGATAAGAGCCCTAACAAATTGACTGGGGTCATGGGGCTCTATAAAACCACTTTTAGCTATGATTCTAGGGTAAACTCTCAGCAGTTAATATGGCCATGGGTCAAAATCCCGTACCCCCAGTGAACATCCCAATCCCCACTAAAATGGAAGATGGGTGGTGCACCTACCACAAAATGGTAGTATTGGTTTTGACCCACAGCCATATCGCCCCTCAGTCACCTCCAGTCATGACCGATCCCTCCGCGCACGCGCCCGGGCCGGGCGAAGACCTGGCAGCATGGCTTCAGACCGACTGGAGCCTCCTACCTCCGGTGTCCTCGGGTTCCAAACTGGAGGCTTGTTTACTAGGTCCTCCAGAAGAGAAGGGTGCCCTTTTTCTGCAGTCGATTTTAGTAGGGGAGCCCTCCCCCAAGCAAGAAACGGTAAAAGGGCACTTAGCTGGGGGGACCTAGTTTCTGTCTTTTGGCTCATCTTATCCGCGATTGGCGCCAGAAACCGTGCGCCACGTTTTTCCCCACCCTGGCCGCCCGCTTTTCGCGTGGAAACAAACTCCGAAACGGAGCTTATGGAGCGGGCAGGGGCCGATTCAGAGTTCACATCTCCCCCGTTTCTTGGCTGACGCCGGGTTTGGGGAGCGAAAAAGAATTGGAACTTTAGCAGCTCAGTGGATTTGGAGCTCAACCACAAAACATTCAATAAGCAAAAAAGGTAAAATGGGTCCCAACGACAAGCATGTTTTGAAGGGGGGAAGTGGCACTTTCACCATGGAGCTGACATGAGGCCCGGAAAGTGTGGTTCCGCAACGTTCCTGTAGAATTTTCCCTTAAGCTGATCTCAGTTGTCCAAAGGACACAAAGGAGTCAAAAATGAAATGTTTACCTTTTGGAACCAGAAGGCCAAATCTGCGAAAAGCAAAAGATCGAAAGGTTGATGAGTTTTGGACAACGAAAAAGGGGAGCAAGCAACGCAATTCCAAAGGCCCTTCTGAGCAAACTGAAAACACCGCTGGGGTCAATATGGGGTCCGGAAAAACAAAAAGGTGACCTTGTAGAAGTTGCCTTCATGTCAATGACGGTGCACGAGCTGCGTTAATCAGGGCCCGTCTTTGAGGGGTGCTCACGGTAAACCATAGTCAACAAAAGTTGGAAACCTCCCCGCTAAAGGGGACTGTCATCGACTGTCTTTGGGTTATTTTTGAAACAAGACAAACACATAATATGTAAGTGGGGCAACAAACCATTCTGTGGATGGACAAAATCGATTTTGCACAAGTTTGTATGTGGCTTACCCCAGTATTCGTAGGGTTTCATCCGTCCGAACT